AAGATCCCGTGTGCTTTGTATGAGCATAACACCATCAGTTCAGCCCCCCACCCCATCAACCCCCATCGCCCTCAGTTCACCCCCACCCCCAGCACTCACCCCGTCTGCTCAGAACCCACCATCAACACAACTCCCTCCTCCCCCTGCATCAGCTCCCACCATACTCACTTCAGCTCCCCTGCAGCCCCCAGACTGTAGTTCAGCCCTCCCAGCCTCACCTCTGCTCCTGAGGTTTCTTCACCCTCTGCAGACCTGGAGGGGCTGCAGTGGGGTCCTCTCTCCCACTTCCAAGGCTGACAGCGAGAGCCCCGGCTGCCCCAGAGCTGGGGCTGACAGCGGGAATTCCAGCCAACTGGGACTGGCTGACAATGGGAGTCTCTACTCATAGCGGCCACGCAAGGAGGGGCTCCGTGGTCAGCCCCAGGTAGCTCTGGCTCTCGCTGTCAGCCCCAGGGTCAGCTGCATCTGAAAAAAAAAAAATCCTGACATTTGAGAGTTCTATCGTGGATCATGAGTCAGGCTTCATTTTACTTAGAAACTGCATCTCTCGCGATTAATTCATGAGAGTTGGCATGTCTGTATACCAGGGGTTGGCAACCTTTCAGAAGTGGTGTGCCGCGTCTTCATTTATTCACTCTAATTTAAGGTTTCGCGTGCCAGTAATACATTTTAACGTTTTTAGAAGGTCTCGTTCTATAAGTCTATAATATATAACTATACTATTGTTGTATGTAAAGTAAATAAGGTTTTTAAAATGTTTAAGAAGCTTCATTTAAAATTAAATTAAAATGCAGAGCTGCCCTGACTGGTGGCCAGGACCCGGGCAGTGTGAGTGTCACTGAAAATCAGCCTGCGTGCCGCCTTTGGCACGCGTGCCATAGGTTGCCTACCCCTGCTGTATACAGTGAAAACATCTTGTTCAATTGCAGGGTCCAAAAAAAGAAGAACGATGAAGCTAACAATGTCACTTGGTTCATAACTGCCTGTTGAGATTGTTTCTTTTTTATAAAATTTGAACTATGGAGATAATAGAAACAAAATAACGGTGAGCAGAAAAGGAAGGAACATAGCACAACAAAGAGGTAGAAAAAGAAGGGGATATGTTAAGGGATTTTTCAGTTTTGTCACTGTTAGCGACCATCTCAGTATCACAGAATTTTTTCTTTTACCATTTCACATGGAATCTCTGAACACGGCAGGGGAGTAGGCTAGCACAATAAAGCTGTATGAAAATGCCTCAGTTCTTTAATGTAAACACTTTCCTGCTGCATCCCAAGCAACTAGTACTTTCATATAATTCAGTCATATGCCACCTAGTGACCTTTCTAGAAGTTACAACACATCATTTATTAAAAAAGCCTACATTAGACATGTTGTAGCCATTAGAGTGACAAGGTGGGTGAGGTAATACCTTTTATTGGACCAACTTCCCCTGGTGAGAGAGACAAGCTTTTTGAGCTACACAGAGCTCTTCTTCAGGTCAGGGAGTGTCACAGCTACATACAAGGTGGAACGGATTGTTTAGCATAAGGTGAAGTGCCCATTCACACCTCTGAGGGCTAGAGGATTACAGATTGTTGTAATAAACTATAAATCCAATGTCTTTATTAAGCCCATGATTTTTTGTGTCTAACAAAGTTATGAATTTAAGCTCCTGTGGTCATCTTTTGAAGGTGTTGACATTAGACATGAGATGTTCTTCTCTGCAACAGCTGATACAAAACTTTTTAAGGGTTCTGCTCAAAATTAGTCGTAGTAGATGAGATCCATATGCTAAAAGCTCTTATTGTAAAATACATTTTGTTTTTGTTCATGTGTTTTAATATTGTTCATGCAAATGCTATAGCACTGGTGGTGTTTTGTAGAGCTCCAGATCACTAAGGCCCACATCTACAATGAGCCTACCTCAGATGGACCCCCATTGAGGATTGGGACCTAAAACTTAACATACAGATAACTGTAATAACTGCTCTTTAAAAATATTTAATAAGCTACCAGGAAGGGAATAAGGAATGAAGGAAGGAAATTTAGCAGGCAGAAGCGCCCTGATTCTAAAAGCACTTAAGCATATGCTTAAATTCCACCAGAATCAATGGGACTATTGATGTGCTTAAGTGCTTTGCTGAATTAGGACCAAAGAGAGCAAGTGAGGATGGGTAGGTGGTAGGAGCTTTATATAACTGTAGTCTGGAGCATCTGGATCTTCTGTCAATGCATGTGCACCCCTTAATAATTAATTGAGGCTCATGAAGATTTCAAAGGGAGAGCATTTCATACTCTATATTCCTGACACTGCAAACGCTTAAGTCTATGGGCTACGTTACTCACAAAAGTAGTCCTATTATCTTGAGTGGAGCTATTTGTAAGTAAAGTTACACACTTCATGAAGTGTTTGCTGGATCAGGGCTGTATTTTGTAACATGTTGTTGTGTTTGTTCATTTTTACTAAGGTTATATAATTTCTATAAACATCTGGATCTGATATTAAAGGGTTCTCTATTGTAATGATGTTTTTTATATTTCCAGGGAAACTTATTTATTTTAAGTACCCTTTACCGTTAAATGACAGAACAATGTCTTTGGTGAGTTACAAAATGTGTTAGCTTTTTTTCAATTGTGTTTTTTATGTGCAATTTGGAAAAAAAAAATCAGACAAATCAAAAATAGCAAAAGAATCGACACTTTGTTATTGATGCAGGAACGTCTGCAGTTATGATCTTATTTACTGGTTGGCCAGAATGCATAAAGAGGATCTATACTTGCCCTAATTAATGGCCTATTTTCAGGGAATGCTTTTAATTAAAAGTGACATTTATGCTGTCAAGGCTCCTTCCCCACTCTGAACTTTAGGGTACAGATGTGGGGGCCTGCATGAAAACTTATAAGCTTAACTACCAGCTTAGATCTGGTCTGCTGCCACCACTCCCATGTGCTAATTCCCTTCCCTGGGTAGCCTTGAGAGACTCTTCACCAATTCCCTGGTGAATA